TAACCAGTGTCGTATCCATTCACAGGGCTCAAAGTCGAAGTCGAGCAAACTTGTTCTTGGGAGCGCTCGCTCGTTGGGCTCAGATGGTTCGACACTGGCGACAAACTGCTCCTTACCCGCCGACTTTGGAGTTTTAAATTCATAGAATCAGCCATCATCGTAGTTATTTCGTCAGCGCCAGGATTTGGTGTACTAACAATGTTAGTATGCATAGGGGTAATGTTATTAATTTCATCATCATCTTGCGATGGAATGGGCGATAGTCTACCGATGCTGCTAACAGTAGAAGCGTTGGACGATGTACGTGGACGACCAAAACTGTCGTTCAAGGGGAAAGGAAGCGGTGAATCGTGCTCATATTCGACTAGCTCAGGAACAGTGAGCAACGAGTCAGAGCTGGAGCTCGTTGGTGACACATTTCCAGGCGAACTAGAGCGATTTAGTTCGCGATTCCGAACTGATAGCCTCGGACTTCCAGGTCTTTCGCTATCTTCTCTCAATTTATCYTTCTTTCTTCCCCTCTTTTTTTGTTCAGTACCCTTTTGTCCTGTCTCGTTGAGGGATTTAGAGCGTCCACGGCTTGTTTTGTTCCCTTTAGCATCAGGGTTTATAACCCACCACGAACTTTTACCGTTTCCCTCGTTCTGGACTCGAACGAACTTGCTATGTAGACTCAAATTATGACGAATCGAGTTCTGGAAAAAAATGCACAAAAAAACAATGACATTACACCAAAACTATACATTATACTAGTCTGCACTTGTAAAAGTCAAATAAGTGAAGTCAATGTCATGTGTTCGCGGATATCACGCTAACTYCAACACGAATACACATACCTTCCAACCGGCGCTGCTGTTACTATCCCCCTTGTCGCGAAAATACGGAACGCTGTTCACCATCCAGTCGTAGATTTGCGAAAGAGTCAGGCGTTTTTCTGGAGAACTCTGGATTGCTTGAGTTATAAGATCTGCGTACGAGAAGTTTCCCCATGCATTTTTTCTAGAGCTTTTCTTCGGTCCTTCCGAAAGTTGCTTGAGAGCCTGTTCGGTATCTTGGGGCTCAGGTTTTGGTGGAATAAATTCAGAAGGCTCTGGAAGCGGCCATGTGTTTGAGCGCGGACGATTGTCTCGTCCTTCCATGAGTTCTGGCTCTACCATCACAAAATCCGACAATGAGAGCACCTGATGTTAAGAAATCACAGCCACAACTGTCGTTATTACATAGAACTGTCTTACTTTCTTCGCTTATTCGAAGGTGAAAAATATTCTATGTGCGGGTCGACTTGATCGGAAATTAGCTCTCCCGTGACGTCATTTGTTGTCAGGGGCAATGTGAAGTTGGCTTTTGATTGGTCGAGAGTTGACAGTCGACTCCACCTTAAAAAATTGACCAATCAGGAAAAGAATACTTACGATACCTTGGCTGTAAATTGACGAGCCAATAGGATAAGCATAAAACATGTCAGAATGTTGTATGATCGCCCCCGCTCCATCAAACATTTTGTTGTCATTTTTTTGCTGTTAAGCTATATATTGTTATGTATTATTATCCGTTATAGAACTTGATTACGAGCCAAGACGACATCACGCAACTACACCATTGTTCTCGCTAATTAAGAGCTAAATAGATCGAGTAAATTCACAGGTTTTTGATGCACAAAAAAAATACTGATATAAATTAATACTTTACTTCCTTAACCTATTTCCGGTTTTTTGTCAACCGGAAGTGTGTCGAACGGTGACGAATGCAGGGAGACATGTTCAAATAATTTTGTACAAATTTGTTCAAACTTCGTGAATCATTTAATGATGTCGCGAATGGTGTTAACATCAATGCCCGTCGCATGGCTTTTAATAAGAACAATCATTTCAATTGCTCACTTGTTAGTGGGCGAATTTGCAGGTGGTCGAACAGAATTGTAGTGGGGAACCTGTTAGTTATTTTTTTTAATTTGGCAAATGATTCATTTCTTGGCACTTTTGTTAACTAAAGAGCTCTCGTCTACCAGGATGGCACGATTGAGTGCCATTCGACGAATACTAATTCTAACATATCTTATGCATTCAATTCAATAACTTCAATATGATTATATAGCCACAACACTCATATCACGAAAAAAGGACTTTCTAGAAATTCAAAATCAGCGAAGTTGTGTTTTTTTTCTTTTTCTTTTCACCAGAACATTCAATAAATATTTTTAATGTCCATTTTGTTGCCTTGTAACGACATAGCCATTATAGTAGATCAATATTCATACCTGAGTGACATACATGATCTAGTTACATACCATAATATGTTCTGTCTTTTGAGCCCGTTTCAAAAGGAAAATTGTCGCGAATCATGGCTTTAATGTTCAATAGATATAACCCGGGTAATTTCATTGAGAAATATTTCATACTAGTCTGTTATGTCTATTTGATACTGCATTTACATGCATTTAGGTACCAGTGGCAAGGACGCCCTCCACAACACGCAGCGAAGGTCAACTAGACATCATGCTTTCATCTAATGCACGGCCACGTCGCTAAATTTTGAGCACGATGCAAAGGACTAGTATTCTCACTAGCTTTTACGGCATGATTTGGCTTGTTTTTCCTAATATTACATTTTATCACTAGTATGACGAGAAGATTTCAAAGCCTGGTATAAGGCGACTCGCGGTTATTGCAAAGTCTGTTTCCCCTTGCTTGCCTTTGTTAAATTTCAATCCCCTGCAGATCGCAAAAAAAACATAAAAGGTCGAAGAAATAAGTACCAAAAGCCATTTCCAAAAAAATGATTAATATTTTCCCGAGCATCAAATATCGCGCGCTATATTCTGATTACTCGTTTCACGGACGACATAGGGCTGAGTCACGAAAAGCCGAAACAGCTAGACAAATTAGCAGCCTAAATTTCCATAAATTGGATGTACATATCGATGTATCCGTTTTCTGTACATTTGACAATAAATTATGACGAATATCGCGCGACTATCAACAGGCATCAAGGGAGAATGTATATTTTGATTTATCAAGATAGACAGCAATGACGTCACTTGTACCACGCATTTTCGCGGGGGTTTATACTGAAACTGACTTAGACGTAGTGTCCRTACAAAGTGAATAATGTCTTTTTTGCAATGAAAGTGTCATCTCAAGGCGGTAGTTTTCTGATGATACCATTGACAGGCCAATGATTTGGGTGCTTTGCTTGTGTTTTCAGCCGTTTTTGTGGCACTCTCAAATTTATCCATATGCATATCGCAAAAAGTAATTTAACACAAATGACTAAAGGAAAGCATTTTCGCGTAAGCTAGCGATAAAAAGAATAAGCTCGCCTAAGTGTCTTCAATTTAGATCACTAAGAGGTCGCTCAATTTATCGAAAATTAAATGTAACAAAAAATAAGATAATAGTTGCTTAAAGTACTCCAGTGATTCCTAATAGGATAATTCAAATGGTTTTTAAAATCCACTGCTTTACAAATGGCACTCAGCACTAGCCGCGCACGCGTATTGGGAATTTTTTCCCGCCAAAACTCTCCTGACACAAAGAGCACATGGCGGGCCTTGCGTACGTGCAAACCCGTTCAGTTCCGGAAGTTCCATTTCAATTGGAAACCTGTTCAAAAAATTTAATAAGCGTATTGTACTATTGTTCCCATGGCGTCCACCTTGAATACAAGCTTAACGGGTCAAACTTTTGTTTTAAATATAAATGTCATTATCAGTCGTTTATTTTTACCAAGCCAAGAGGGAGTTTTTTCAATGTATATTTTGAGAACCAGTTGTATTATTCTTTGATTCAATGTAGTCTATACAATAGTGCGACACAATTGAAGGTCATCCAATGTTACTTCTTATCAAAGTCAAGGTTACAAGTTCCAACACTTTGTTATGATTCTTAATATGATTTTTTTTGAGAAGATATTCTTATCAAATGAAGTCGATTGGTGTGGAAGTAGTGGAATCGATGTTCCTATCTTATGGATCGGAAATTGAGTTCAAAAACATTTCCAAAAGGCAGGAAGGAAACTTATGTTTTATCGATGAACTCGGAACTGAATGGAGTACACACAGAATACCCATAATATATGCTATCTTGATTATCATTCCTTTTAGTAGCTACAATAGGATGTGTGTGATGATCGTGAATGACTAAACAAAACAGTTTATTATCCCACGCTTTGACAGTGAAGGAATTCAAATTCCACGTGCTCTTTTAACCCATCACAAAGCTGTCAAATCAATGTCAATTTGAATATGAACGTACGTGATGTACAGTGTACGCTATAAATTATCTTAAACGACGCGTAATTGTTCAAAATGATCTATTAATATCGTTTTTGTCACACGCAACGACACGTAACCCATTTCATCTAGACTTCATCACATCGTGACCACTGCGGTGTGTGAAGTGGAGACAGTTGAACCCGCCACCCTTCCATAATAGGCAACGCGTCTGGATATGACGTCACTCATGACGCAATAAGAGCATATGCTGCTTTAGAGCTGAGAGATTAACATTAAATTCAGTATAATCGGTTTAAAATCTTGGGATATCTGAGTAGTAACGTAAGCGTAGGAGTATTCTTTAATGTACTTCGGTTGATTTTAGAGAAGCAATATTTTGCATGTCTACCTAAGAATGTGCTGTCTTCCTCTTTTCGAGTATAAGACTGTAGTCAGACATTAGTGATCAGTCTTATCAAAATATCGCTGGAATGCTTTTGTTTTTCGAGTATAGCATCAATCCTATGTATCAGTTAGTGCTCACAAGAAAACTCTCAACATTTTTAACTTTGATAATTTTACCAGTGCAGTCACACCATTTTGTCAAGCAAGTAATCGACAGCAAAATGTAGTCTAATTACCCTACAAAACCTACTGCATTTTCCTTGAAAAGATGCAAGTAGTCGTTTATCCGTTTTTGTAAATGAAAAAGAAAAAAAGGGGGATTATTATTTTAGACAAAAAAGTAAAAAGACTACATCAGCCATCATGCTTGTTGTGCAAAATGGCGACGTCTTCACATGCCTTATTGAAGAGATCGGAGATTAATCTAAAAGTCTATAATCCAGTAAGTCGTCAGAAGAAACGTAACATATTGCTGAATACCTTGGGAGTGGGCGCGCACTCTGGTGGATTGATCGATGTGCAAGAAATAAACWGAAGGCTTTTACATTTCTTTTTATAGTTTTTATTTATAGTTTATTGTTTCCTATAATTAGCTTAAAACCATTTATTAGGGAGTGTTAGCTGGTGGAAGCAGCACTTAAGGCTGGTCAAATTGATAAGTGAGGAAAATCATTTAATATCACTACTTAATATAGCACGATATGATATAATAGAGCTGTAGTGTTATGAAATACAAAAAAAATTAGTCATTACGAATTAACCGCCTAGCAATTCAACAAAAAACTCACTCTGAAAAAAAAATAAAGCATTGTTCACCATAAAGAAAATTCTTTTTCCGTTGCCCTAAACGCTATCATATGTACTCTGGCTGATTTAACATTTGCTTGCGTTTGCGCGTGATGTCTTTGTGTGTGATTTTCCCTGGGGAAGGTTAAGTTTCGGAATGAACGGGATAAAAAGCAAGCGGATTCTGAGGCTGGTTTGTATTGCCAGAGAGTTGTCGAGAGTCTGTCCTCTCTGCGAAGTGTGCTAGTCTGTTACACATTTAAATTTTTCTTAGGTTATAGCTATCCCCTTTGGGCGATATGTTCTGTATCCGGTCACTGAAACGATATATGGTGTTGGGCAGTGGGGTGCTCCAATGAAGAATTAAAGCAGTACTTTTCGATCTAAACGAATCTGATATACGAAACAAAAAACAAAACAAAAACAAAAACAAAAACAAAAACAAAAACAAAAAACACAAAAAAAAATCTTTGAAACTTCAAAAATATCAAATATTTGTTGAGAAATATTTCTCTGATATTTATATGTGTGCATATTAAAACGTAGTGGAGCAGTCAAACTAAAATTGATAAAAAATATTAATAAATTTTATCCCAAAACTTTATCCCGAAGCGAAGGGTTATAATTTTCTTCACTGCGGCAAGCTTATCCAAGTGGGAGTTTGAAGTATTTTGAGTTTGCACTCAAAGCAGTACTAACTCTCATTAAGAATCTCGGAAACTAGGACAATCGATTACAAGAATCTCATGACGTGTGATTCAAAGCGGAGTTCCTGCTTGAATATCGCATTCACAGCCGGCGTTCAGTATCCAAAGGGGTGCGAAAGAATAACGCTGAGGGTGGTGGCTTGGGTAGGTCTAGTCACGTTCTTA